CACATACTTGATCCCAGGTTATAAAGACCTGGGAACCTAGAGTTTCCCAGAAATCACACCCTGTGACTCACTCTTCAAATGTTTGCAAACCGGGCTGGGGAAGGTCTCAGTGATGCAGAGCTCACCTAGCATGTTTGAGGCTGGGCCTTCAGTCCTCAGCATCACACACTTATCCACCTCAGATTGTTCTTGTGTCTTTTCATGCTATCCCTAACACTGAGGTGTTTTGGCTTGTGTTTGTGTGTTTTACACGTGCATGCCTGAGTGCGTGCTTTCCTGTGTTCGCTTGTGCACGCATGCATTCATGTGTATGTTGGAATGCATGCCACAGTGGACCTCAGCCAGAGGAAAACTTTTGGGAATCACTGCTCTCCTTCTACCACAAGGGTCCTGGAGGTAGAACCCGGGTCATCAAGTTTGGCTTGGCCCACTGAGCCATCTCTGTACAGGAAACACTTCTACCACAGGATACACATGGTTAGTTGCGTAAGCCAACACCACTTGAGATGCCTCCAGCTTTGTAGTTGTGGTGGTGTGAATGACTTTCTACAAGGGGGAGGAGATATTACTAAGCCTGAACCCGTGGGGCTAAGGAAGCTTTTAAATAGAATCTACGGGAAACCCAACCTATTATCTATAGACTATAGAGGCTTACAATCTGTGTGAGTGTGTGTGTGTGTGTGTGTGTGTGTGTGTGTAAATGTCTGATGCTGGACATATTAAAACCTCCTCTGAAGTTAGCAGCTGAAGAGATGGCTAGCCGTTCAGAGCACTTATCTTGAAGAGGGACCAGGGTTCAATTCCCAACACCGCAACGAGGCTCACAACCATCTGTAACTTTAGTTCTAGGGGCTCTGACTCCCTCTTCTGACCTCTGAGACCAGGTTTGCACGTGGTGCACATACATACATGAAGGCAAAACACTCCGACACATAAAAACAAATAAATATTTAAAAAACAAATTTAAAAAAAAGCCATACCTCCCATAGGCCAACAAGATAGCTCAAATGGATAGAGGCATTCGCCAACCAAAATGATAACCAGAGTTTGAGTCCCCAGATCCCACATAGTGGAAGGAGAGAACTGACTCCCACATTTGCAATCTAACACATAAAATAAGTAAACGTGTGTGTGTTTAAACTAAACTAAACCCCTCACTTATGCAGGGCATACGAT